GGGCTAAGGAAATGCTTATCTCCCCGAGCGCGGCCTTCACCAAACCATTCCATCACACTTAGATTGCACAAATCCATATGGTGGTAGCAGGTTTGTGTTTTTAGGCCCATCTTTTAAAAACACAAACCTGCTACCATCATATTGATTGATAAATAAAACTATTCTAATGATCACTCCAATTAAAAATCAGTACCTATTTCCAGAATGTTCCTGACATCACTTTGTCCATATTATTGTTTGAGTATAGATTTTCTCTAATTTGCTTCATTCTTAGTTTTATTATGGCATATTATACAGTTTTAAGCAGGACAGACATAGTTGCTTATTTTTGAATACCAAGTTGTAATCGTGTTCATTGGTTCAAATACTGTAACTTATAATTCTAATACTTATTATTCACTTAAATAATTTATATCTTAGTTTGCAGCTCCTACAAATTATACAGGAGCATAAACTTATTCTTCCTTCCCTTCCCCAATCTGTACATCCTCCAGATATGTAAGCTTCAATTCCCAGAATTCTCAGCAATGATGATGCTGGCAGGGGAGTTAAAGATCATAAAACTAAAGGCTGTCTTGTCTGGCGAAGGTTAGAGTTTATAGTTTATAGCTCCACCACAGCATTTATTGCTTCACAATTTTCTACATGCTAACAAGTGCAAGGTGGCTTTAAGCAGATCTCTAAATCACCATCATCGGCATTGACAAAATCACCATCAGTCAATTGCAAAAGGCAGCTTTACTTGGAACAGCTTACAACCTGCGCTGATACCTCTAACGCCATCAAACAACATTTGCCTATCTCTTGGGAATGACTTGATAGGTGGATAAAAATGCCATATCCAGTCTAAACATCTGGCTGATTGTGCAACCAACCATAATAACAACAACAATTGAGAGACCGCAATGAACCAGTCAACATCTGACAAAGAAGAAACAGTGCAGTTCTGGGAGCAGCTATGGGACATCCAAAGAAATATAACAAGAATGCAGCTTGGATAAAGGAGGTAGATAAGAATAAAAAAGAAGCTGAAATGAAAGCAACTTTCAAATCGCTAACTGGTGTGGTAGCTAATGCAGTCCAACAGCATCTAGTTGAAAAT